TCGAATATATTCTGATAATCTTTTTATTTACAAACATTGTATGAATTGTAGCTAGCATTGATTTAAAATGATTTTAATTTATAATTACTTTTCCCGTTTAAATATTTATCTTTGAATGGATCCTGTAAACCCGCAATATATTTAGATGTTGTCTTTGTTACAGCTGCAGCAGGAGAAAAGAACACAGAATAAAAACCAACCAAACTCCACAAAAAATTTCCTGGGGGGGCGTCCCACACCCCCTAGAATAGGTATAGGGTTAAAATGTCAAGACCAGCTCAATTAAAAAAAAGTTAAACCGATAACTTTAATAGTTTGGATGTTAGGGAAGGTTGAAAAAAGGCCAAATTACAATACAATTTTTATTTTAGATCTATAAGCCAAGATATGGGCTCATTGACTCACAAATTGTAGGTAGATATCAAAAATGGTCTCAATCTTGAAAACCAAATTTCAAACAAGTCTGTATAGACCCTTATGTGCAAAATAAAATCATTATAAAATAATCTGACATTTACTTTAATAGCATTATTGTTAATTAAAGAATTAAGAATAAGTCCGAATTTATATTTCTAAGAATAATCACTACATTTTAGTAAAACTAAAAACTATTATCCAAGCCGCAGAAAGTTAGTTGGTTTGTAGTTAGAGTTAGTATTACCATAGTCAGCTAAAATAGAAAATTAAATTTATAAGATATAAAGTAGAGTTTAGTAAATATTCATTTAAAAATGTAAGACATATTGTTGGTCAGTGTCTCTTAATGTTTTTATTTACAATGTTAAACTACTTAAAATGAGGTAATAAAAAGATCAAACAATATATAGCATATATATAGCATAGTTTGCATCAATTTAGCTTGAAGAGTTCCACTTTTTTAATTTGTTTGTTCATCGTTCATTAACAACCTGTTTAGTATGAATTTTTTTTCATTCATTCAGAAAAAATTTTTATGGGTTTGTTTTCAATTAATTGAATTCTTTATTTAATAAAATTGTTTGTTTTGTAAAAGATGACCGTTTATTCATAAGTTCATTAAAAACATCCTTCTCAGAAAAAAAACAATAAAAAGTTTGTCCAAAGAACTATTTGGTTCAGTAAAATATTATCCCTTGTTCAAGCTCTGTCAATAAAAATTTTTATTTCAGTAAAAAAGGATTGTTAATGATTTTAAATCATTCATTATTGTTTTTTAAATTTTTTTGAAGGATTAAATAAAAGTTAAAAAAATGTAAATTTTAAAATAAACAATGTAATAAAAAACCAACAAGATCATCTCTAGTTGCGACTCCATTTATGTCTTATAATATAATACAGATTAATGATCACCTCCTTCTGGCTTTGCTCCTGGATTGACTGCTGGCTTTGCCACTTCTAAAATATCACAAGAGTTTATTAGTTTAATGGGAGCGTCTGCATAGACATAGTAGTTCAGCTGAGATTGCAGTATTGTAGAAAAATGTTACACCAAAAAACATTGTATAGGTCTCAAATGAAATAAAAAAATCCAATAATTATCCCCCAACACAAAAGGCTAGAACAGAGTAGAGTGCATTAGGTAGGGAAGTTTTTCTCACAAAAAAAGGGAAATTTCTTAAAATGGACTTAATCTCTCACTTATTTGGGTAATTTTAGACTAAACTAATTAGCCTATTAACTATTCATTGGTATTAGTCTCTTACTTATCGAAGATAGCTGGGGCCAGAGAGCAGGCCAATTTATCTTTAAGAATTCCAGTGCAAATATATGATATCTTGGTATAGATCGTTGGATTACTTCCGAAAAAATAGTAAAGGGTAAAAAATCTTAATTTTTTTACCTGTAAATTCTTGTCCAGGGGCATCGTCAATTGTTTCAACCAGGTAGGTTTTTGATGATCCTTTTTTCATGTTAAAATGTATAGATATATGTAGAAATAATATTAGTGAGAAAGTTTATAGTTTTTTATATTTATATTTATTTCAATACATTTTTCATTTTAGCAGGTTAAACTGTGTTTCAAGTTATTATGCAAGTATGTTTTTATAGATTTCTACTCAGAAATTATTTTTAAAATCTTTATTTTCCATAAAAAAGTATTCCATCAGATTTTAAATATGTTTATAAATTCTTAAGACCACTCAATTTGACTTTATTAGTTATTTTAATTTTTACACAACAAAGAACATTTTCCCTTTTATTGAATTTTGTTATTTTAAATTAATATTTAATATTTATCTCTACTTGTACTAAAGTTTGGTGAAAAAAAAGGAAATATAAATTGATCTTTATTCTATTGATTTATACAACAACCACAATTAAAAATGGTAAATCTTTGAATAAGATCAAAATATTTGAACGATTTTCCTTATATTCTGGATTAACATGCCTAAAGAAATTACACATGATAAAATACAGATAAAAGTTACCATATTCTTAAGACCACTCATTTTGAACTAAGAAATGTAAAAGTATACAGATTTAAAGAAAACTAATTAAATTGACTTAATTGAAATACGATTCTTAACAAACATGATTAACATGATTAAACAATAAAATTAGTTTTATAATTATTAAATCTAAATGTGTAATGCAAGGTAAATTCCACATCCATTTAACATTTTTTTTGCAAAAAAAATTCTCTGCTCTGAGAGCTCAGCATATTCTCCATAGTTTTCATACACGTATTTTATTATATCTGTTCATTTCTATCCAATCAACTATANTGAACTATTTTTATGTTCATTTGAACTATTTTTATGTTCATTTGAACTATTTTTATGTTCATTTGAACTATTTTTATGTTCATTTGAACTATTTTTATGTTCATTTGAACTATTTTTATGTTCATTTGAACTATTTTTATGTTCATTTGAACTATTTTTATGTTCATTTGAACTATTTTTATGTTCATTTGAACTATTTTTATGTTCATTTGAACTATTTTTATGTTCATTTGAACTATTTTTATGTTCATTTGAACTATTTTTATGTTCATTTGAACTATTTTTATGTTCATTTGAACTATTTTTATGTTCATTTGAACTATTTTTATGTTCATTTGAACTATTTTTATGTTCATTTGAACTATTTTTATGTTCATTTGAACTATTTTTATGTTCATTTGAACTATTTTTATGTTCATTTGAACTATTTTTATGTTCATTTGAACTATTTTTATGTTCATTTGAACTATTTTTATGTTCATTTGAACTATTTTTATGTTCATTTGAACTATTTTTATGTTCATTTGAACTATTTTTATGTTCATTTGAACTATTTTTATGTTCATTTGAACTATTTTTATGTTCATTTGAACTATTTTTATGTTCATTTGAACTATTTTTATGTTCATTTGAACTATTTTTATGTTCATTTGAACTATTTTTATGTTCATTCTGTGTAATGTTTATCTAATTAATTGTCATGAATATAACTTTATGAAGATTATAAAAAAAATTTAAAACTGAATTGGGGTAGAAAATAGTTCAAATGAGCAAGAAATGCGTTGATTTAAACTACAGGATATGACGTCATGTCAGTAGTTCAAATGAACAATAGTTCAAACGAACAATAGTTCAAACGTACCATAGTTCAAACAGCAGTAGTTCAAATGAGAATCCACCGTTCTCTCCAGGCATGACACAGGACTCTCTGTCCTTCCGTACTCTTAAGTTAGTGTTTTTGGTTATAACCTTCGCTTAATTCAGATCACTGATTCAGTATATATGCAGCAATTAATGTGTGCTGTTAAACTATGAAGACGAAACCAGTTTTATGCTAAACTTTTATGATTTTGTATGCCACGTATTTTACAAAGTAACAGTTTTAGAACATACATGTTTTTGACGATCGTCAATTCAAATTGTAAAGTATATATAGACTATAAAATAATAAACTTGTTAACGAAATTATTACTTTTTATTTAAATTGATATCTAGTGGGTACTTAAATGCGTTAAATTACTTTTTATTTAAATTGATATCTAGTGGATACTTTAATGCGTTAAATTTGTTGAAGCAGAAGGTTCTTTTAATAACCCAAAAAAAATTCTCCAGTCGAGCTGTGATTGTCAAAAATGTCGAGTAGACTGGAACATAGTGCTTAACCGACCTAAATCATCTTACCTATAATAAAAGTTATGACTTCCAACCTAAAAATATTGCAACAACCTAAACTTGTTGCTTATCTGACCTAAAAATATGTTCATCCGACCTAAAGTTATCATGCTTAACCGACCTACAATTATCGTACTTTACTTACCTACAATTATCGCTTATAAGCGACCTAAACAAAGTGCTTAACTAACCTAAGATTTTTGCTCAACCAACCAAAAAATATTGCTCATCCGACCTAAAAATATTTCTCATCTGTCATAAAAATATTGCTCATCCAACCTAAAAATATTGCTCATCCGAACTAAAATATTGCTCATCCGACCTAAAAATATTGTTCATCTGTCATAAAAATATTGCTCATACAACCTAAAATTATTGCTCATCCGACCTAAAAATATTGCTCATCCGACCTAAAAAAATTGCTCATCTGACCTAAAAATATTGCTTATCCGACATAAAAATATTGCTCATCCGACCTAAAAATATTGCTCATCCGACCTAAAAATATTGCGTATCCGATAAAAATATTGCTCATCCGACCTAAAAATATTGATCATCCGACCTAAAAATATTGCGTATCCCACCTAAAAATATTGCTCATCCGACCTAAAAAAAATTGCTCATCCGACATAAAAAAATTGCTCAACCAACCTAAAACACATCTCTAAATCTTAATGATATTTCATTTAATTTATTCAAAATTTAATTATGACTTGGTGAAATACAGAAAAATATGAAAAAATGTTAAAAAGATTCAATAAGGAATTGTTCAATTTGAAAAATTTAGAGAAATAAAAGAGGTTAGGTTATGGGAAGAATCTCTTCTTTTTAAATAAAAAGAAGTACGACTTGCCATGAAGAAAAAAAAGGAAACTCGAATCTACTAGCTTCTATGGTCATGAATCAATAAAAATGTCATTTATTTATATAATTTATTTGTATTTTACAGTCGCAGTGAGCTTCAGGGACTTTAGGACTTTCACAGAGAGGAAATCACTTGACTAATTGTGACAATCTAGCAGAAAAAAGCTTTAAGGCATTAATTACAAGTTAAATTAGTGCTGCATGGTCCAAATACTATTATTAATGATTAACGAGAGAAATGAATCCAGAATGTCAAGATATTTAGGATATTACTATTAGAAGCTTTAAAATATTCAGCTGGCAGTGAACAAGAAATATAGAGGAGCATTGACGACAGTTAACATTGAACACTTTAGAGATACAAGGCGTTTTTATTGATAATAATATAGGAACTAGGAAATCTTAAATGCCAGTTAATTAATAATTTGGTAATTGTACAATTTGTTGCAAAAACAAAAATTTTTATTTTATCCGAAAGGTTGAGAAGACGAATTACCTTAAAGCGGTCACTCAATTTCTGGTGTATTTTCACCCTGTAGATGAAATTATATTATCAGAATTTATTGATTTTATTTTTATGACCTTCGTAATCTTCTTCTAAAAATATGGATGCTATATCGATTGGACAAATAGCCAATTGAACGTTAGTTCAATTACCCTAAAGTCGGCTGTTCACAAACCGGTTTTAAAAGTTAGTCCAAATGAACATTAGTCCAAACAAACGTTAGTCTAAACGAACGTTAGTCCAATTGAACGTTAGTCCAACCGAACGTTAGTCCAAACGAACGTTAGTCCAACCGAACGTTAGTCCAAACGAACGTTAGTCCAAACGAACGTTAGTCCAAACGAACGTTAGTCCAAACGAACGTTAGTCCAACCGAACGTTAGTCCAAACGAACGTTAGTCCAACCGAACGTTAGTCCAACCGAACGTTCGTCCAACCGAACATTAGTCCAATCAACCATTAATCCAATTCTTATGACACCAAAATATGATGACAATTTTATTTCTGAGGATTAAAAATTTTCGAATAATTTGACAAATGTGGTTGGCTGAGTTGGCTAGGTATTCAGAAATGTTTCCTATTCCCATCTTTTCTGTTCTGAACAGGTCCGCTAGTTCCAGTGAACACAGGTCCGCTAGTTCCTGCAGAGAACACAGGTCCGCTAGTTCCAGTAAATATTGATCCGCTAGTCCCAGTACACAAAGGACCGCTTGTTCCTGCAGAGAACACAGGACCACTTGTTCCTGCAGAGAACACAGGTCCGCTAGTTCCTGCAGAGAACACAGGTCCGCTAGTTCCAGTACACAAAGGTCCCCTTAAATATAAAATTTGGTAAATGAGAATGAAACGTCCATCAATAAACATTTTATTTAGAGATATTTTTATAGCTGATTTCATAACTTTAACATACAATTGTCGGCGATTGTATCAATACAATATAGACGACTTTTTATTAATAATGCGTTGATCCCTAACAAGCAATTTTTTAATTACAAGTTTACAAAGAGAACCTATTTATTGACAACTTCTCTAGTTGTTTAAATATTTAAGTGAACGTATTTATTGACAACTTCTCTAGTTGTTTAAATATTTAAGTGTTGCTGATGTTAAAAGCTGCTTCACTGCTTGACCCACATGCCATGTGCCTTCCAAATTTTCGGCATAAATGTATATTACCTTGTGGGAGTAAATGAGGCCAGGAAAGGTCTGGTCTCAGAGGCCACTGTACCAAATGTACTTTGTGACCTCTGGGACCCTGGCTAATGTCAGTATGCTGATGCTTCCTTGTATTCCGAGTCGGACATTGTAAAGAAATCCTCCAGCTTCCACTGAAGAGTCTCAAATGTTGGTCTCTTCATTGGATCCTGTGGAAAATGATATTGGACATATATGAAATACATTTTTAACATTGAATTATAAGATGTTAATAACAAGTAGTTCCCCCATTTTTTAAATTTCTCCATCAAACAAAGAAATTTAGTCTTTGCAACAAACTTTGATGTTCTAATCCCTATATTTTTGCAACCCATTGTTGTATATCTCAGATGTTTCGAATTCAGAATTTTCTAGTTTAAAATATCAAAGGTTTACAACATGGGTTGCAAAGATATAGGGATTGAAAAATTTAATTTGTGTCGAGTTTTTGAGAAAGTATTTGAATACAGTCTCACGCACACTGATAATTTTACAACTTAAATTCTAAAACAAGTCGAACTGAATAAACGTGTTAAACATTTATCCTAATCAAATTCTATCTAAAATATTTGTGTAACCTTGTGCCAGCACTCCAGCATTATGTCGTAGAGTAGTGGAGGACAACCCTGAGCAGCCTGCATCCTGTATCCATGCTCAACCTGGTGAAGCACCTCAGCGTTCGTCATTCCTAGATACAATAATATCATGTATTATGAAGCAATGGCGGCAAGAAAAAATAAATCGATAAAAAATTATGAAAAAAAATTGATTAAAGATAAGAAATTCAAAATAAACAAATTAATAAATTTATCTAATAAATAATTTAAAGAAAAATATGTATATTAGAAAACGTACACCAATTTTGCCAAATAACGCAAAGGCGAATACAAGAAAAATGAAAAGTTAAAAGATGCAGTTATGTTAAAAATTCCTAATACTTTTATTTTGAACTCAGCCTAAATAGAAAAAGTAAAAAACCCGGCAACAAATTTTCGCACTTAATAATACCATTTAAAACGGCATAAACAGATAAACAGATCAAAAAATGGATAAAGATAGAATATGTATGGATTATATTTCCCTTACTAAGAACCTATTCTTTTCATTTATTTAGAGAGCATATTAATAATATTGTCTGCATATTTGAAAGGACAATAGGTATTAAAACAGTGGCGTAGTAAACCAGTAAACATGGGTGGTCTCTTCAACCTTAAAAATATCTTTATACTATGTAAAAGTGCATAAATTATTTAAAATTCAATTTTTTGTGTTAAGCAAAGGATCTAGTTTTGATAAATTTGACGACTTGTCGGTGGTGTAACATTTTCACTTATTTTAAATTTTTTTTAAAAATGTCAAAAAATAAGTCCAAGAAAAAACAGATCGACTAAAAAATTTGAAAAAGGGTAAAACTTCAATTAAAAAATGAATCTTTTAAAGGTCAAATGAGGGGCAAATTAACTCATAATTGGGATTTAATTGAATCTTTGCCACAAACTCGGATTTTTAAAATTCTATATATTTGCAACCCAATGTTAATGTAAAAATAATCTTATTACAAATTATCCTCTACACAATTCATATTCATGCTTGATTGACGTCTTTCCTATTTAAAATTACGTATTCTATAGAGAGTCCAACTCCTAACACCTACGCTAAATCCCCCCCCCATAAACACTTTGTAAAATATGCAAACTCGCACCTTGTTTATAATTTCCATTTAATTTTAGAAAAAGGTGGGAAGCTAATAGCCATGTTTACTTGTTACTTGGTCAAAAAGTTATTAATAAACTAAAAGAATAATGTAGATGTATCGACTAAGCATAAAACTTCAAAATGAAAATTATAGAAAAGCTAATGGATAGAAAAATAATTTTGAAGTTTAAACGCATTTTTAAGTGATCCCCTTTACCTAGATAGATTTAAATAATTGTTAAAGCGTTTAAAATCCTCTTTTTGATTAATTTTTGAACTACAGATGTAAATATTAACAGTAAACACTATACAGTATATATGACCTTGCTTGTATTCATAAATATTTGAATAAAAAATTCCATATTCCATTGAATCCAGGGGGACTTTTTTATGTAAATGTAAATTACAAATATAAATAGTATTTGAAGAATCTGGGTCTTGTTATAGAGATATGTCTCTTATTGATATTTTCATAATAAAAGTAAAAATAATACCTGGATACGGAATACGACCGTATGTCACCAGCTCTGTTAAAAGAATACCAAACGACCAGACGTCACTCTTTATGGAAAATCTAATAAAAAACAGGAGTAAAAATAAGCTTACATCTTCCGGTTGGTAAAGAAAGGGAACCAAGACAAAGCCAAATGAATTCTGCATTCCGAACCACGATTATATTTAATTTTCCGAGCCTCATTAAATTGTCTTCAAGTTTTTAACATTTAAAAAAAATCTTGCAATGCTTAACTGCTGCATAAAAATAATGCACTTAATTGAATCATATATTAAATTCGGAGTAATGCTGTCAGCGCACATATCTAAGGAATCAAATTCACATGATAAGATGGATTCAATAAACCCCAGGAAAAAAAAACTAAATTTTTGGACAATATTTACAAAATAGATTTGAATTATCACAGATTGAGATAATTTGAGTCCATCTACGCTTGAAAAGCAATAAATACGCAAGAATACGAATTCTATGCAAAGTAGCACATCGTGCTTAAAAAATTTGGAACTGTAAAATTCAATAATTTACACCATGACTTGGGAGCAATCCTTTAAGAATTTAATACTAAACAAGTTATAAAGCGTCGGGGGAGGGAGGGGGGGGGGGGAATGGCTGTGAAACAGGAAAATGTGGCTTGTCATCCTACAAAGGGGAAGGGGGGAGAAAGGAAGAATAAGTTTTAGCGAAATTACACACCCCTGGGATGCTTTGTTACAGAGCCAGGATATGAAAAGAGAAAATGATAACGTCTCGAAATAAAATTTATAAAAGATTCATTATTTCAGAATTTTAGGGAGGAAGAGAAAGAAATAAAACAAGACATAGGTAGAGATTGCCTTTAAAGATCCTTTTATGCAAAGAAACTTACTAAAAGTCTGTCAAAATTCTAAATATTCTTTTAATTTAAGTTTAAAAAGATCAAACGTAAAAATAAAGCTTTCCTCGTGAATCAGTTATTATGCCTTTATTATTAAACATTAAAAATATTTTATCCAATTAGAATTTATTAATAATTCTTAAATAACCTTGAATAATTTGCAGCCTCAGGAGCTGTCCATTTTATAGGAAACCTCGCTCCAACCCTAGCTTCATATTCATCCTCCTTAATGAGCCGGGCTAACCCAAAGTCTGCAATCTTCACTACATGATTATCTCCAACCAAAACGTTCCTAAATAAATAGAAATCAATATACAATAAATAACCAATTTAAAATTAAATTAAATTTTTATTCAAGGGTGAACTTATAGTGAACTTATATACCTGGCTGCGAGGTCCCTGTGTATATAGTTCTGAGATTCAAGGTAGGCCATCCCAGCAGCAATCTGTGCTGACATATCGATCAGCTGTGGGAGCTTTAATGTCCTACCCTTCCCTGAATATTTTGAAAAATTTTATCTTGTCTACTTTGTTCCTATAAAAAGTTAAAAACTAATAAACACTATTTAAAATCACAAAAAAATTGTTAAACGTGTTGAATTCAAATGTGCGAGAAAAAAAGTAATAACTCTTATTTAGTATTGTTTTTAAAAAATTTAATTTTTCATAGATGGGGAAAATGTTTCCCAAAAGAGAGGATTGAAAAATCCCGGCCCCTCCTCATTGTTGCGCTAAAAATACTATGAAAATAAAAACTAACACACAAGGCCGTGCACAATTAAAGAATCTATTATGGGTATTCATAACTGAATATCTATTTTTACATTGTAAATCATTCTAACATTAAAGGGACTGTAAGCGTAATTTCCAGTGACCCTCCATTAAAAGATGGCAATGCCCGATTATCAACGGTACCATTAACAGTTTTTTCAGATCATGTATGAAAAAGATATAAAGGAAAACTGATTTTTTTCGATTGTGATTTCTTTTCACAGGTGAGGCATTTCTATACAGCAGGGAAACATATATACAGAATTATCAGAATTAAACACTTTTAATCCTAGAAAAACAACAATATCTTCTACATTATTGATTAGATAAAGGATTCATGAGTACCATAGCAAATCGGACATATTGAATTAAGGGTCACTTGAAATTACGCATACGCGTTAAGAAAATAATAACACGACATTATGCTGTTTTCTTCAATAAAAAAACCTACCTTGAAGAAACTCTAGCAGGCTCCCGTTCTTCATAAGCTCTGTAATAATGTAAATAGGTTCCTCCAGGGTACAGACAGCGTACAGCTGGATCAGTTTAGGATGCCGTAACTTCTTCATGATTGCAGCTTCAGACAAGAAGTCCTTAGGATCCATTGAACCTAGGAACAAATATTAACAAAACTTTTTTTCTTCTCAGTTCTTTGACGGGATCCTTTCTCATTCAATTTTCCCAATGAGTAAAATAACATTCTAAAATCCAATTTATTTCAGAATATGACAAAATTGCCAAAGAAGCTACGGTTGTTGTATTCCAAAAAAGAACAAAAAATTTACATTCATTAGTAAAAGGTTTGAACAAGTAGTAATAAACATTTTAATTGAAGAGTTTAAATTGAAAATCCTTTAAAAATTGTGTAATCATCTACACATAAAACTAGGTTCAAATGATTCTTCTAAACTATTAGTTGTGGTCTAGTATGCATAATGCCAAGTATGACAATACAATGGGATACTAAACACATTATTTCTTCTTCAACCAAGTCAACATAAATCATGTGTCTAGCCTTCAGTACCTAACCACAGTTATACTTCTAGACTACTCCATTTCATTCTATTCCAAGTGTCCATAAGTGATTTAAAAAAGCAAACCATAGAATTGATAATTTTTAAAGTTTTCACCTGTTTTTAATGTTTTGATGGCGACTGGAGTAGTACTGTTCCATAATCCTTCCCAAACCTCACCAAACTGCCCATGTCCTAGTTTTCTGAAATAAGAAAATAAATATCGGATATATCAAACCAAAAACACTGAAACCTTCACCCTAGATACACTTCCCAAACTTTTCTCCATCATTATTTTCACTTCCCAGTAATCACACTTTCAAGTTCCAACCAATCATATTATCATATTATACCTTAATCCAACTAAACACAAATACTTAATCACGTGCAAAGAGAATAAATTATATATTTCTGTGATCTCGTGCCAAAAAATAGACTTTAACTCTTATAAATAAACTTTTTAGTCATTACAGCTACTATGCATGGGTTGGAAGGAATTTTGATATGGGAATTTCAAATGCTATTCAGGACAACATATCGCATAACAATTGTGTACGTACCTACAATTTAACTCTTTGGAAAATATAAAATAAATTTAGTTTGAAACTACTTAATAGTTACAATTTAGGCTAAACAACTCGTTGGTTTCCTCTCTCGTGTGTTTCATGGTACGGACCTGTTGAATTTAAGACTGTTTCTATCAATCTCCCACTGGTCTCTGGTATTATGAGCTAGATCAGCTGTCAGAGGTTTTTCAATCTAAACATAATCAGGCGTAATAAGTAGCAATGCAAGACATATCAAAATTAAATTTAGATTCTACAATACATAGTTACATAGATAATAATTCTTATTATAGCCTGACTATCCCATCTACTCAAATTTCCAACAGCAAAAATGTGTTCATTCAAACTACAAATTTCTTTTTATTTGATTTAAAGAAGAATTGTGACATCTGATTGGTTCATCCAAAGAACTAAATCTAACCTGTACGCAAGGTTTTTTTAGATTGACGCATAAACCGTCCGACTCCCTGGCGTAGTGCTCCACCAGCTCCTGGAGGGTTCTGAAGGTGGTCCGCCGGGCAATAAAGAATCCACCTTCATCCAGCTGTCTAGAACACACAAATATCAATAATTTATGAATGCACAAGATTTAGTTTAAAATTTTGAATGTATAAAAATGTTTTGGAGACAGTCTAGCGTTTAAAATTAAAAACTTTGTTTCAAACCTTAAATGAAAATTAAATTTCTAGTTTTTTGAGGTTGCTAAATCCATCAAGTATTTTTACTGCTCGGAAAAAAAATCAGTGCAGTCTTTTTGTTGATCTTACAAAAACATGGAGGATTGCATGCGAAGAATAAACATTATACACTTTTTAAAATTTCAATAATTAAGATTTAAGAGCCATAAGCTTTGGCATGAAAATTAAAAGTGATGGCTCGGCCACTGTACAAAAACGTGAGCAAACTTTAAACCATGTTTACAACCCCACCCAACATTACAAAAAAGCAGGGGTAAAATATACATCAGACGGTTTTACTCCGCGCAACTCCCTGAAAACCCAAAAAGTTGGTTTTTGGTAATTGGCCCATACAAACCCTAACTAGAGTATTGACAATTTTTCACTGCTATTCCTTTCTGGTCTTTAAATATGTGCGAACGCTTCAACGTATGCATCTTGCATAGTTCTGTGAAAAGATTTAAAATCTACGGTTTAAACTCAACTATAATTCTTGGATTTAAATTGCTTGTTATATTTAATTTAATCATTTCAGAGCCCGACGCTAATCCAATCTGTATGCATTGTGCACACTGAACCCTAGATGCATTAAATTTAAATGATAAATCATATTGAAAATTAGCTGCTACCCATCTGCCATGCTTGCTTGCGTCCTAATCATTTTTCTTTGAAAAAATATCAAAAGAGAACTTTCCTTGATGTTATTAAACATCTGAATATATATAAAGTTGTAATCTCTGTATGTCTGTTTGTTTGTCCGACCATAACTCAGGAACCCCTTGACTGATTTGCCTCAAATTTGATTAGGGAAACTCGTGAGAACCCTGTGAATCTTGTTAGCTTTGTTTTGAGATTCTAATTTGAGTGGGTCGACTTTTAAAGCAAGAATTTAGTTTCCCGGTAAATCAACCAAGTGCGGGTAAACGGCGGGAGTAACTACGAGTACTCTGGGCAACGATGGGTTCCCAAGCTAGTCTGTATAAAAAGTAGTAATCTATATTTGTCTGTTTATGTATTTGTTTGGATGTCCGATCATAACTCCACTGGACCGATTTGCCTCAAATTTTGATTGGAGAGCTCCGTAGAACCACGGGAATGATCTTATTCTGGCTTAAAACTTTTAAATTGAATAGTAAAATTCCCGGTAAAGCGAATATAATATGATCTAAAAAACTTGCTTCACTAATTGCGCCCCAAATTTGTCCAAGGGATAGCAGGACGGATCTCCTTAATTCTCCAGGGGGATGGGGGTCGAGCCAACATTAAGTAGAAAATAAAAGACTTTTTAAAATTAAAAAAAATTTTAAATCCAGTTTCCCAATTCGATGGTTATTTTTAAATAAAATAACAATACGTAAAGAATTATATAATTTTTCTCTAGGAGAATACCAGATAGGAGAGGGGGGGGGGGTGCATTCTTTTCGTACTGCCCTCCCACCCTCCTAACCAGGAAAAGGACAATGCGGACGAATTCCCCTTAACTGAAATAGAGAATACAACCGTAGTTTAATATTAGCATAAATTGTAATGTAACCCGAATGTTTCAGCATTCTCAAATTAAAATAGTTTCCAAGAAGTATATGATACAAGAACACCGCCTTGTAGAAATCTCGTCACAGATAAATATTTTCAGCTAGATGGGAAATGTACTCAATTCCAAGACAATTATAATTATGCACTAACTGCAGCGCTTGGCTCCTAAAGTATCCCTGTCGCAGCTGACGGCCTAGAATAATTAACAGTAGCAATCTTTCATTACCCTGAATTGACTTTTGGATAAGTGCCTAATTTAGCATCTAGGGAAGTTTCCTTAGCTCCACGGGGGGATGGGGGGGGGGACTGGTATCCCTCTTAACGTTTTTTTTTGGACAAAATTTAAAGTATTGGTCTGAGGCTGTTCATCTTTTTTGACATTTCAAACTAACACATGCTCTTCACTTTAGGCTAAAAGCTGAATTTTTTTACTTTCTTTCTGAGCACTATATTTAGATCTACTTCCGGTCATTGTATTTCGACATTTTATAGGTCTTTGAAAAGCATATGACAAAAAGAAAACGGATTGTTCAAGTTTTCCAAAGAAATTTAGCAAAAAAATTAGTTCGTAACAGATTTAGGTATAAAACAAAAATAAGAAAACTATTCAATGAATATTGATAAAATTTAATAATAGTAATTATAATATTAATAAAAGGATTAACAGTTCTATCCGTAGAAATCAATATATTTATATATTTAATTTATGTTTATAATTTAGTTTAACTAAGCTTCCAAATATTAAATTTAAAGGATATTGCATTTATTGCGCTAGAAGCAGAATAAAATTTAAGACGAATTTCTAAAAATATTTCAACCAGATTAACACAACTTTTTGCATATATTTGAGTAATTTGGGTAGCCCCCCCCCCCCCTCCCCATCCTTCTTTTAAGCACGCCAAAGTGAATCTCCCTTGCCTCTAGAACGCCCCTGATTTCAGACACTTAAATTGTGAGACTAAAAGCATCATAATCACAACATCTACCCCATTCACTATATAATTTTGATAACAGTTATAGTAAATGTCATCTGTAATGGGTGCACAAAAGGGATTTTTCATTAAGTGTTAAAACTGATCGTAAACAGCGTATATAAGTATTGTGTAAACTACTTTTGAACGATCTGATTGCTCTTTAAGATATGCGCTATTATATTAGTATTCAAATCTTAACAATGAATATTCATGTAAATATCACTATATGTCAAGGATGTCAAGCTTCCTTTAGCTTTTAACTTTAAATCATTTTGAATATTTAAAACGAACAGGGTTCCGTCAATAGGGACAATCGAATTTTGTTACCGCAAGTTAAATAATGGCCATTTTCCTAATATGAGGAGAAAAATATGTGGTTTTATTGCTGATTTCCAATTATTTAAAATGTTTGTTTGCATAACATGAAACATAAGATGTAACAAAAAGTAAAGCAAGAAATCCTATGACATTTTCTGGAATTGAATATACCACCGACATTCGCAATTTTAGCTGTCACGAGAAGATCTGCAGTATTGTGCAATGTTTTTGCAAATCGAAAGATATTGCACAGTTGATTGCTTTCACACGAACACAGTTTGCACAACAGTAAGAAAATCATTTTTATGTTATAAAATAAAATCAGAAGTTTCACGGTTTAAAATTGGAATTCTAGAAAAAAATATTCTCAAGTTTGAATGTTTTTATTTCGCTATCGGCATCTGGAAAAATGAAAGAAACCCGTTTAAAAAATAGCTTCATCGTAAAATTTTCAATAATATTTGTTGGTAATGATTTTAAACGTGTAAATATTAGGACAGTTGCTATTGCACCAATCCAGGAACTATGTTATCCTTAATGCGTCCAACCTGGAAAAGCGCTGATAAGTTAGTGCAAGAAATATAGCAGGTACTTCCATAAACTAAAGTTTACTGCTGCGCTGATTAGTTCCATCATTTCATGCAACTTGTTTAGTCAAAACTGAAAATCTATAAACCTACCTAATTCTGTAGTGCTTGACTGTATCTCCGTCTCGAACTGATAACGAATAATCGTTTCGCCTAGACTCGGAATCTCGGATCAAGAAGGTCCCGTGTTCGTTCTGTGGAAGCAGCAATCTCTTCTCAGCTTCTATTCTCTTACTTTTCCCGAAATACCATCTAAATAATAATAAAGTTTGATTAAAAATCTTCATCATATTTATAAAGTTCTTAATTTTTCAAATTAAAAAAATATGAAATATTCATCATGCATTGATACTAAACCAAACAATTAATTAAAAATGTGGATACCACAGTTTAATTAACAACACGCATGAAATATTGAAAATAAAATTCTTCTTTTAAGTAAATATTAAAATTAATATTTTTAATCCAGAGATACAAATACGATTGAATTTATAAGTTTTAAACATATCTGAAAGAACTGATGTAGCATTGTTTTCCAATACGTTGGACAAAATATAGATTTTATCAAGGTTTTAGATTAAACATTTCAACTGTTAAGTCATGATAGAATATTAATATTCGACTACCGGCGGGGGGGGGGGGGGTAGATGTTTCTAAATTGCGATAAGGGTTGTCAGCTGGTTTATGCTAACAAGTCTATAATTGACAGAACATCAGTTCTAAAAATTCTCCTCTGTAAGGTTAAAGAGTGCGTGCTGCGTATAAATTATATTTAATTTCTTTCAACGCCGGAATTATACGATTTCATGGATTTTAGGTTTTAAATTGTATAATGTAATTTACGTACGTCAGTAGTACTCGTAGAACACAATAATAAATTAATCTAAAGAATGTTTGATAAAAAACTTGTTCTTATATTTTTAAAAAAAAGTATCACCATTTTTTGTTCTATTTTGAGAGATCGAAATGATGAATTTTTCTGTAAAAATATATTCCCCTGCTGATTTGTCTAATTAACTCTTTTTTAGCAAGGAGAAAAAATCAAGGTTAAACCTGCACATCACCCCTTCAATACTAACAATCTTATTATGCACCATCATTAGGCTGACCAAGGAAATTGGTAAATAGGAAATGTCTGATTGATTTATATGTTTTCGTTACTAGTTACTAATTCTTAAGAGTTTTTGTAGATGAACTGTGAATGCAGGGAGGGGACAACATATTTAATGGTATTTAAAGCAACGTAAACAAATTTCTAACAATAAAGTTAAAATCGTCAGTCTTGCAAAAATGTCAGCTAATCGAATGCGAAACTGCAAAATTAATCAAAAAAGTGTAAAAAATGTTAACAATGTCAGAAGATCTGAAGAAAAAAACAAGTTTTTTAATGGGGTCATGATCCCTTAACTTCCCATACCGTGAATACAAAAACTTATCAAATTAACCTTTGCAAAAATGCTCAAGACGTTGCAGAACACATATTGTGCAAAATCAAACAAACTGCAGCAACAATTATTTTAATATTTGATATTTTTTATGCTAATCTGCAATGAAGGAACTATGCAATGAAGGAACTATGCAATGAAGGAAATATGCAATGAAGGAACTATGCAATGAAGGAACTATGCAATGAAGGAACTATGCAATGAAGGAACTGTGCAAACTCGTAATTTAGAACTAAAATGAAATAAGCAAAATTAAAAACTGTTTTTAAAATAGCTATATTAGATGAACAACAAACGTATAAAGAAGAATTTTTAAACCAATTGTTTGTCAAATCTGTTTTTCAATTTAAAAAAGTTGAAAACTTCTTTAAAAATGTTTAAGTGTATTCTTGTTTTAGAATTTTGCTTATCAAGTGCGACCTGTTTTTTCTGATAAAAATCGATTTAAAAAATATCGAAAAAAGACTAAAAAACAGGAAGGTGTCGGGGAGAGCGATGAAAACTAAATAAATCTTCTCGTCAACTAGTTGATCAATAATAATGTTCAGTTTGAAATTGAACAAATCAACTGTTAAAAATTCTTTTTCTGAAATCTGTGTATAAAATTCTTCTTAAAATAATCGTGACTCAGGTGCCACCTACATTCTCCTAAATTCTCAGACAGGAAGCTACAGGGTGACTCAAAATTAAGCCAATTTAAGGACTTTTAATGTAAGAATATATATATAATACAACTTATTATTTCAAGAAAATCTTTTGTCATAAATCCTAAATTTTCTGTAAAAAAATGAATATATTTGTTACTGTCCCCCCTGTCGGAGGAGAGACAAGGAAAAGGTTTTGGTATAAAATCTGCTTTGTTTAATGATTGCATGATTTGGATCTGTGCTGTAATTAAGAATATGCAGTAAAGATTGGTTGGGTTAGTAGGAAGATGTACCTAGGATAAGGGGTATTCAAGGAATAAAGAATGATCAGGATTATCCGTTGGTAGCCTCTTGAGAGTTTAGAGGATGGGGGAGGATTTCAATATTGAGAACTGTCAACAGTATGGATATTAGTTTCTTCGAAGAAAAGGAATTTATGAGCCTATAATAAACATAGGTAGACCTGGAAACGAATTTAGTCAATATTTTGATATGATTGTTTGTGTATGGGAAATGAACTGAGACGGTTACAACACGGTTATATGTATTGGAGTGAATTAAAATTTGTGAGACATGCAAGTTTTTATACAGTCTGAGAACAATGATCTATATGCGTATTCAATGACCCTCTTCCCCCCTCTTCTTATTGCATGACGGTAAGAATTGCAACATGGATATAACATCCCCCTTATCATAGAGGATGGATGGGCTGGGTGTGGGGGGGGGGGGAATCTCCACTAATTCCTCTTTTTGCTTAATTTAGCTTAAATATTAAGCTACAACTTGTAAAATTTACAAACTAAAGAATTTAAAAGTTGCTATTAGTTTTATAAAAAAAACCACAGATAAGTTTCGCAGAGTTCTTATTATTGACTTTTAAGTTTCAAATTTTTACGATTATTATGAAATTATTTTATTCGGAAAATCCGAATTTGATCCGGAGTAAAATTGGGTCCATACTAAATATCGACCTGAATTCAGTATATTTTGATTATCAAATCTACCAACCTTTTATCAAATCTAATCAACTAATTCAAGAAAATATATTTAGTTTATAGATATTATCCCGAATTATTTAGAAAAAAGGGCATTATTAATTCTTACGTTGGAAGCCAAACTCCATTTCTATCTGGCCAGATGGTTGACAGTCCGTTGTTTGTGTTTACAGCCCGAGATCTGGACTTGGACCTTGCACGTATCCCTGATAAAGGACCTGGAGGTATGGGAGAACAAGGAGGACCAGGCCCTGATCCTGAACCTTGTGCACTACTAATGAGAACAGGTTGTAAACTGCTTGTACTACTATTTAATGTACTGCTTACTGTGCTGCTAAGGGACCCGGGCTGTCCCTGTGACGGGTATAACCAGTTTTCAATGTTATTGTTTTTATTTTTGCATTCTTGTTTGTAAGCATTACTACAGTACACTGTGTCTGGTGTACTGGAGATTTTTCCAGCAATCCTTCTTGACCTGGCCCGACCTACGCGCTGCTTTGTGTACAAATTAGTTTTCCCACCCTCTGTAAGAAAACCATTTTTCAAGTTCTCCTTATTTGCGTCGCAAAGTTTGTTTGAATCAGCAAATTTTCCGTATTCTCCTTGAGTTATTATAAGCTGATTTCTATATCTTGATGGAGCTTCAGACTGAGATCGTCTGGCCTTCCTATGTTCTCTTCTTTTGGCAGGTGGGTCAGGAGAAACATTTCTAACAATCCTTTACTTTGACAAAATACAAAATTATCTCTTATTGTTATCATCTATTTACCATTGCTTAGGATCCTGATCCATTGGATATGCAACATTTTGTCTTCCAAAGGGCAAAATATCCACCAAAAACTGTAAACACAACTATTTCGCTCTCAAACCCCAAATCTGAACGGTTGAGAAATAGAGATTATTAAAAATTTCCTTATCTCTGAATGGTTCATGAAGTTTTAGCAATAAAAAGAAAAAATAATTTGAAAATTTGTTCAGAAACTCAGAGAAATGTATCTAGATCCAGATCCATTTTTTCCCGTGCGGATCCAGGATCCAGATCTGCATCAAGATTGAATGGATCCTAAGCACTGTTAAAAACAATACTTCGATTAGTCAAATGAGGTAGTTTAAGAAATCTCACAGCTGGAAAGTTACAGCTTGAAGTTAATCGCTTGAGGTAATTTCCTTCTTATTTTACTTTGTATAAGTATTTTAACCTTAATACCAAGTTCAATATAAACTATTTAAAGTTTTAATTAGCAAATGATTGGTCCCTAAACTGAGTTTGATCAGGTTGGTTGGCAGAATGCTTGCATGCTAGACATCTATTGCTAGAATGTGGGACCACATCTCTATTCCTGATTCAATAACAGTCACACAAACCACCAGTATTGGTTTATACATTCTATGGCAATCTATATATAAATTTGGCTTGTCTGTTTGTTTGTATCCAATAAACGTCAAAACGGCTGAACCGAACGGGCCCAAATTTTTTGTGGGACATCACGTGACCACAGGGAAGGTTTATAAATAATAAAAATTTTAAAAAAATGTGTTTTAAAGGTTTTTAATTTTGTAAAAAAATTTAAATTCTTGAAAATCCGCGAATTTTTTTTAATAATCGCAAAATTTTTCTTCTTTGTTTTAAAATGTAAACAAAAAGAACATGTTCACAATTTAAATAGAAGACGGGCGCGAAGCGCCCTAAAAGCCTAGTATTATTATATTTGTTTATATAACCTATTTAATCCTATGAATCACATGAATATAGAATTTATTTCTACATTTCTTTAACATTGATTTTGAATGCCGTTAATTCGAATGAAGATATCGTAAATCTATTTTAATTTAAATAGAAAATCAAAATTATTTTCTGAATCGATCTAACAATCTAATATATAACGTAGCGTTATCAAATGCAGACTTTACATTTATATATTTTTAACTTTTTAAGGGTTGAATCTTTTTATCAACACTAAGTTTCAGGCCTTTTCTATTGTTAACTCACTACAAAACATGATATAGGATAAAAACATGAGTATTCTTATTGTGTTTATAATGATGATTTGCATGTGAATATTTCCTTTCTTGTTCTCCGACTGATAAGAACTTGGCTAACCGAGGTCTGTCCCTTCTATTCAACAATTTGGCAAGACACTCAGATACAGTCTTTTTTTCTTAATTAAAAGGGTTTCCGTCCAAAAGTTTAATGTGTTTACATTCTCAACAATTGGAAATCGATAAAGTTTTGAAAACATATTTAAGCACTATTATCATAAGAATTATAATATTCATACATCATGTATCATAATTGGTATATAAGTTTAAAGATTTAATTTCGAATAATGGAAATTCTCAAAGAATTGAATGAATCCATACAAATCATTCTAAAAGGTTAAAACTGCAAAGTTTTATATTTTATTGTTTTTCTTTGCCATTGTATTGTGAATATCCCTGGTAATTCTTGAGTTGCAACTACACTGATCTGTTGTACCTCCAGACCAAACCATTACTTAGCTAGCTTCAAGAGCCTATATAAAAACAGTACTGTACCGTACAGTGTACTTATACAGTATACCACGACACACAGTTCAGATACAAAATCAAATTTAGGTGAAAATTTTACAGTGAATTAAGAAATGGTAAAGTTGAGAGATTTAAAAAAAGCGCGGAATTGTGAAATTGGATCAGTAGTTATTGAGGAACAAAAATTCGGCAGAAAGAAAAAGGAAGATGAATATAATAAAGATCAAATCAAAAATAATTCTTTTTTATTTTTATATCTTCAGACAGAGTTCTTCACTGTAAAGCCTTATTCTATCAGTTACATTTAGGAGTAGAATTTGCTGAAGGCTTTTCTGGTCTGAAATCTCATCTTCTAAGATATTGTTAAAAATCAACTTTTTATTTGCATATTTATCAATGAATTGTCTGGGGTCCTGGCTCCAATTAAATGGCTCATCACCCTGGTTAAACATTGATTTATTGATGCCTAGTAAACCATAATTAAAACCAAAATAGGATTCATGTCGGATATTCAAGCTGAGGTACAATGCTTTAATGGGAGGGATCGCGATAAATCTGTTAACAATTCATGTTTAAATTAAAAAAATTTTAAACAAAATTTAAAAACAGCAGTAAATTTTTTTTTCTCCGAATGTTTTATCTTTTTTTATCTGATCATACATCTGTTCTTCTCTTTTAGATCTACACAATCTAGTATCTTGTAGACAAGGGTAAATGCATTTTGACACATATTTCTGATTATTACTATCCATAATTTGATATAAAATTAAGTATAATAGGAATTATTGTTTGTGAGTAGATATCAGATGTATTTGCAGTTTTCGTTAATGTCTGACTCAACAACTGTTGAAGGTTAGCTTTCAAACACAGTTTACTGAATATTCTTACAGGTTGGAAAAAAAGGTCACCAAACTTTGAAAATTCTAAGGACTTTCATTGTCAGAAATCCGCCTTATTAATGACAAATGGGTTAAGAAAAGTTAGGCTAGGAGTGGATATTTTCGACAAAAGAATTCTTAATTCTTGTAAGTACATCTTGGACACAATGCTTCTGAATATGGCCTCATCTACAGTAATCTTTTTCTTGCAGCCGGCAGAGAATAAACTGGTATCATAGTGCATGGTGCACAACCTATCAGGATTCTACTTTCTTTGTTTCCATTTTTATTGTTTCTGGCAAGAGGGAAGGGGAAGAGAGAAAGAGGGAAACCCCTTCTTCTCTGCACTACTATTTTCTTTTATTCCAAGTAGGTTGTACTGCCATGTTATTCCACACAGGGTTCTGTTCAGTCACAAGAAACTGGAGAGAGTTGTATTAGAACCTGACTGTTCAGTGCTTCCTTGATGCTCACACATAGAACCAGATTCAATTGAAAGAATTAACGTCTTTCCGATGAGTTTGGATACTTAATGATAGCTAACCAGAGCTGAAAACTTTAGAATGGTGGATATTAAGAATAATGCTTGATCTCCTGGTTTTACTAATCCCGAGATTAGGTTAATACGCATTTGATATCCAAGAAAGAAGTTTAAAATTCAACCAATCAGCGTGTCATGTTTAATTATTACAGCGTTAAAAGATTGCAGGCCTTTAATGTTTCTTGTAGTTCCGTTAATTTCTTTTCCATTTGGGTTCAGGGGTGTATACAACAGGGGATATACACCCTAGCTAAAGTTTCTATAGTTTGCCATTTTCTCTCTCTCACCCTGTATCTCTTAGCACTTTTAGAAGCGCCAAGCCAGAGCCAGTTGTTGCTGCTCTGAAAGCACTGGGATCGCGAAAAATGAAATGGGGCCCGGGGAAGGGAGTTGTACTCAATATTTTAAATGTAGAATGATCCTTATAAATATCAAATTTTCTGTATAGAAACATTGGATAGAGATAAAAAAGTACCAATAGATTAATATGTTTACAAGGATGTATCCCTATTATTTTTTGGGAACACTCCCTTCAGCAAATCAACAATCAATCGATTTTTACAGACAAAAGGAATTTTCAAAAACTGTTTCTAAAGAATTCTTATTTTCTTATATTGAAGGACAAATTTCGTTTTTCCTTTGCATTTTAAAAATGATATATTTATGTTAATCTATATTGAACTTCTTGCCTTAGATTTACTTTCCTATTAATCAAATGAGGCATGAAACAACCAGAATAGGAGATACGTTATTACAGACCACAGGGCTAAACATAATATATATATATTCATATATAACCCCCCCCCCCAATTGAACAATTTAGAGAAACATTTATTATAAAATAAATAATAAATGTTATGTATCAATTTTTTCCCCCCGAAAAGGCATTTATTTCCCAAAATATGATTTTTTTCATACATAAGTAAGGATTGAAAACTTATTTCTAATATTTTGACAAAAAGAAATAACCCCTGACAGCGTATACCGTAATAGACTCTTATCTACCGCTGTTAAACAGAAAAGAAAAATAGACTTCGTGTTAAAAGCGTGTGCTAACACCATTATTAAAGCTTAAGGCCTTGAATGCTATATTAATAATGAATAAATGATGCTTTATCGTAGAACTTATTCTATAGATATGTATCAATATTTCAGAAAATATTAATAAACCCGGAAGAGGTTAGAGAAGACCAATTTTTATGAAGGTATGGAGTATCATTGTCTCGGAAACATTTCTTGCAACCCTAAACCATAAACGTATATTACATCTATCCGAATACATGTCAGCCATATACCGAGGTTATGGTCCTTTACTTCTTTTTATTTATTAGTGTGGGTACCTAGCGTAAATTCAACTGACCCTCCATGCAAAGATAGGATTGCCCGATTCACAGAGGAACCATTAGGAGCTTTGTCTGATCAAGTATGAATTACATAACAATTTTTATAATTTTGAAGATTGGTTTCTCTACAAAAATGGCTTGTGCTTTTTTACTTCAGGAACAATTATCACAATTAATATATTAAACACTTTTATAGATATAAAAACTACAATATCTTTCACCTCATTAATCAGATAAAAATTCTAAGGGTTGACATTTTGCATGGAGGGTCACTTGTATTAAGGCTTACAGTCCCTTTAAACTAATACCAATAAATTAAAAACTTAATCGAATTAATATTAGCCGTAATTAAAAATAGTTTGTCTATTTATTGGTGACAAAGTTTTTATGCTCAACTATCATTTTTCCCATTTATTTGCGTATCTCGACTTTTAATTTTTTCTCCACTCAGGAGTTTAAAAAAAATTACAGTACTTGTCCCACTGAATACAGCCAATAATATCTATATCATTTTTTTAACCATTTCTAGATTTAAATGAAAAAATGAGTTGATTTTATTCCTCGTGTATCATCAAGAAGAAAATCCTCTTCGTCCAAAATTTCTCAAGTGAGCTCAAAATTCGTTGATTACATTGATGTAGGTTTATTATTCACATTTTGCTCACATTGCTTCAATATCTTATTTTTTATAACAGTGCTTTTCAACTATGCTGATTTAACTTGTTCACTAGTTTATCCCATAGGAACAGTCTTTTCACAAATATATAAACCTATTTTCACATTCCAATATGTAAAAAAATTGTTGGACTTGCGCTTTTTGTGTTTAATTGTTACAGGCCTGCGTCGACTTCACGCGTCGAGCACTGCCTGATGACTGAACCATCTTTGCTGATGATAGATAGATAAAACTAAAACTAAATGAATAGATAGATAGATAGTTAGACGGCGAGATAAATATTGGTTGCTGGGAGGATAAGTTCAGTAAAGTAGAACCATTCAAAGAAAACTACAGGGCGTACATTTACAACCATAATATCTTCTTCATCTAATCTTAACATAATGTTAAAAAATCTTTCGAAAACAAAATGAAAATAAATTATTTAACAGATTTTGTTGATGATCACATATTACGTTTTGTTTAGAACAGGATGTAGAGGGATTTTTATAGGTTTACTCCAGTCTACATTTATATTTATTTGTTACATTACTGACAGCTTTATGGGTAGTAGACGTAGTTACAAAACAGATATTCCAACTGGTAAACAAATATAACAGAAATTCAGAGAGCTATGAACCCGTCGTTACAGCCATAAATGACTTGATCGAAGACGAGATGGCAATGGTATACAATAAAAACATTTTTAAGCCAAGAAAATATATTTTCACGAATTATCGAGGGAGAATTTTTTATCCTCTGTGGCAAAAATAAAAAATTGGGCACAACAAGAGAAAACGCAATTTTTTTCGAACATTGTTTTAAGCTTAAACCCATTGAAAAAAAATTGTAAGTCTCACTTTTAAAGTATTTGTAATATTTGTACATTTCACATACAAATTATTGTGCCCTTTGTAATACAGATATGCGTTTTATTTATTAAAATCACAACCAGCCAGACAGACAGTTTGAGACAGGAGAGTAGCATATCACTAGACTGATATATTTAAACAATGGGTAATGAATAATAAGTGGAAAAATGGGATATTTTTGGTTATAGAAAGGAAACTCTGTACAGTTTCCAGCCCCTGAAGGGGAAATACAGGGTGTCCAAAAAACGCTCTTTAACGTGTGACAGCTCTTCTCCAAAATCTATAAAATGACAGTTTGAAGTATGCCATGTGCTACAACTTTTCATTGGTGTCAATGGAAATGTTACGTGGATTTTAAAAATGTCAAAAATTTTAATTATCGAAATATGATGAAAGCGAACTGTATTGCAAATGATAGAATTTCAGATATTATTGGATTAAATTTAATCCATACAAATCCTTTATAGACCAAGACTCGTTAAAAACAAATAGAAAAATAGAAAAACTCTGTTTAATAGATGAACAATAAACAATGTAAAAAATCTTAATTTCTATGGACATTTTAATTTCTACATTGCAAAATACTGAAATTAACGAAATCTGAAACAGTTTAAAATTAATTTTCAGAATTTATATTCTCTCTGTAAAAATTTATTATTTTTAAGTACATAATTTATAAAATATTGAAAAGCCATAAATTAAAGATATTTACTTCAAAGATTAACTCCGGAGACTTCAGAAGAATTATTAAGATGTACCATTCACGTCAAAAAAAATTAGAACCAATGGAAATTTAAACCGCCGACAAATTTAATGATAAACCCGCGGGCGTAGCCCAAGGGTTTATCCTTTTAGATTGGCAGGATTCAATAAAAATTGTTACATACCAAAATTCAGCTTTATAAAAAGCTTCTTTTTTTGTATGGATCAATTTTTATTGAATCCTGCCAATCTAAAATCTTATTCACGCAGGTTCATGTTAAAACAAGCTCTTTACAAAGGAATTTCGTTTACTCTCAGAAAATTTAGAATTCAATCATAAACCCTTGGTAAGTTTTCTGGGAGTAATTGATTTATTTCCGAGTTGTTAAAGAAAGATTCACAGTCTTTAATACATTGACACATTTATGAGACTCTGGAGGACGGTTTCATTAATTAGAAAAGCATTGAGTTTTATTTAAGATTAATAAAAAGAAAATTATCAAAAATTGTCAAGAATTTTTTTTTATAATTCGATACAAATAAGATAGTAAAGAAATTTGATTTAAAAGTTTTAATATTTTAAATTATGGACCGAGCTTAACTTCCAGAAACCATCTAGTCCTTAATATTTGTCCAAAATATTCGTCCCTTCAAATATTCACTGATGCAACTTTAGGTGGGAGTAAATTCGCGCTGATTGGTTCAACGCACCTAGATATAAAATAATAGATTTATGCAGTTCATATTAGGAGCGAAATCTTGCCATTTCTTAATCTAAATCGTAGGCGTTTCCCAGATAAAACATACAATTGCAAAGACATTATTCATAGCGACAAACATCTTATTGCAAAAAAAAACTTTTATAATAAAAATTAAATATTTTTGGAAGAAGAAATATTATTTTGGAATTTAAAATTAAAATAAAAGCTTGGAATTTTCTGTCTTCCCTCCCATCCCACCCTCTTTCCGACCCTAAAAAGTAACTCACATTGTCTAATCCCTATTCTTTACAATCATATTATGTAAACCTTCGATATTTCAAACTTAGAATATTTGGTCTAACCGAGGTCTTAGTTTGAAATATCAATGGTCTACGACATTGGGTAGAAGATACAGAGATTAGAAAAATAGAGTTTGTGACAAAACCTCAGTTCTTTTACAGATAAGTTTTAAAGGACGACGTCTTACATGGCCAGATTTTTATAGTTTTATCTTCAAGAATTGGAAACTTTTTCACACAAAATAATCAAAGGACGATGATTCCGAGGTGGCTCGGACGAGAAAATGAGGAGAATGTGGCTCGGACGAGAAATTGTTGTGGCTGGCCTTCCTCCCCTTGTTATAGTAAACACCGACATTCAATGTTAAAACAATAAAGAACCTCAGTCCTTGCAAATTTTCTAATTCCCATATCTTTGCAACGCCTTTCATACTTCATTTAATCTAACGGAACTTATAGTTTAAAAAAACAATTCATAGTATGAAACACATCATTTTGCAAAGAAATCTGGAATTGGACAAAAAAACTAAATTTTTATATCAAAGTCACGCAGTTTAGCCTAATGAGTTTTTCAAATGAAATGCAACAAAAATTTTAAAAATCCGCGATTTTTAATGTACTCTTCTTATCATTTGATAATTTGTATCTTAAAATGTATTATTCTTCGCCCGTATCTGGGCGTTATTATAGAACATTTGTTGACATTAAGAGTCCCCCCCCCCCTAACTGCCCGGCCGTCTAGGGACTATACCTAACCCAAAATATTTCTCATCAAAAGTTGTAACTCTGGTAGAATATACTTCAGGCATATTGAAAAACCACGCCCATAGATTTATTGTAGGTTCAGACAGTTTGGGAAATAAATTGTTAAACTTTGAAATAAACAGAATTAATAAACATAAAATAGAAATAAATGTATTTTAAGATTTTGTTTTATTTTTGATAAACATTAATTATGAACAAAGTTCAGTTCGAAAAAGTATAAAGTTAGGAACTCTGAGATCGAAATTATCAAATGGTGGGCCTCGCTGAACAACTAGGTGCAGACGGTTGAATCACTTCTGGAATCACTTCTTAAATATGGCCAAAAGTGCACGTTGTTCAACTTGCCAAATCTAGTTCAACTACTTCTCGCGGTCCATTAAATCCGCCCTCTGGTCAATCCCCTTCTCCTATTCGACAACAATCTATGATTCACATATTTATCTAAATATGTTATTATTTCAAAATCTTTTATTTTTACGTTAAAGCAGAATTCAATTCTAAAATATCAATATGGTTAAGCTAAGTATGAATGATCTATAAATAATTAGAATGTTTCAAATGCTGGTTTTACTGGGGCGTTTTTGGCTTTGTGGTTGTTAGGCATCTTTTTCAGTTTTTACTTGTCGTGGAAACATGAAATACAATTCAACTGATAGTAACTCGGGATCCTATGAACTGCTTTTCTCAACGCTACATGAAACTCCTCATTAGGCAACAATTTACATTTGTGTAGGGTTATATTTCACACAAACCCTTTTTTTCCTTTGTTCCCAACTCCCCCATACATATAAAAATCCAGCTGCTATGAAAAGTTTTTTTTGTAGCCATACACATGTACATTTAAGAACTAAATATCCAGTTGTTTTCAGCTTTAGTTTTAAGAAGAAACATGACAACATTTTCATCGATTTTGGCGTAAGAGATTTCAACCTTTGGATCACATGGTGTCCATACCCTTCTACCCCTAATGCTTTTTAGAATAACTAGGCTTTTAGGGCGCTTCGCGCCCATCTTCTATTTAAACTTTTGATTGTGGCTTTATCTGTGAGCATCTTCTCTTTGTACAGTATAAAACAAAAATAAAAATGTTTGCGGATTTCATAATATTTTTTTTGCGCGCATTTTCAAAATATTACAAAAATTAAAAATTTTTTAACACAAATTTTTAAAATTTTGATCATTCATAAACCTTTCCTGGGCCGGCGTCACGTGAGGTCCCACACAAAATTTGGGCCCGATCGGTTCAGCCGTTTTGACGTTTATTGGATACAAACAGACAGACAAATAAGCTAAATTTATTTATAGATGAAGACGACATTAAACGTTTATCTTTATTTAAATCTTAATAGTTATTTGAATATTTGGATAGTTGAATTTAGGATTTTTTACGCAGTATGAAAAAAACCGAGAAATAAATAAAGAATTAAATAAATTTAATATTAAAATTTAAATTTTTAAATTTAATTTAAAAGATAATTGTTTTGAGACATTTAGGCCCCTATAGATAGGTTTGTTAAAACTTTTAATCAGTTGATCCCAACCCTATCATGGTTTTTATAAAAACTTGAAGGATAATTTATCTAATACAATTATAAAAGATTAATTATGTTATTTTACTTAAACAAATGCTGTTGAACTACAGACCCTCCCCNCTCTTGCTAAATGAAGAAAAATGAAAAATCGATGAACCCATCCAAAGATCTAAAAGATTTATAGATGAGTAAAATATGAAATATGATTTCTTACAACTATTTAGATTTTTACACAAGAAATAGAACTCTTTTTTTTGTTATTCAAGGAAAGTAAAAAAGATTGATTAATCCAATATAATAAATCATTTTACATGATATTTGAAATAAATCAAGAAAGAGTTAGTTA